GCTTGATCACGCCCCTTCTTGAATGTTTAAAGGGAATTTGTACTTGAAATCACGTCTAATTAGATAATTAATAATTTATTTTAGGCTTATACGATTTTAATTCAAGTGATCGCCAATAATAGATTTATTTGTGCATTAATTATCAACCAACATATATTAAACAGGCTTAGGATTAATTTAATGTATGTATGTTGATCAGGAAGCGCACATGAATGTTATAAGAAATACGTAGAGGCCGATTTAGGGCGGGTTCAATCTCTTTTACGTTGGATTCGTACCATCATCCCTGAATATCCAGTCATGGTTCCGAACCACTACGGAGTTAGTGATCTCCGCGATCGTGAATGGGGTGTAACCTTCACACCCGTGAACAGTTTACAAGTTCCTAAAACTTGTTGGCGACTCTTTTATCTCTAGCTTCCTTCCCTTTGGACGCCACCATGCCTAAAAGCATGATCACAATGGGGCTCAATGTTGAGTTTGAAAAATTCCCTACTGTTTTTGGCGACTCCACTAGCGAGGATTTCTAATTTTGAATCCTAAAATATATTTTGGCAATTGATTTAGAATGAGTGGATGAGACTTGAAATATTCTAGATATTCATGTGCGTAATTTTGATTAACATTGTGGCATAATCATAAAAAGGTCCGCATTGGAAAGACCATTTGAAATGCGTCAAAAACATAGGATTTCTACAAGTAGGAAAAGCTGGAAATATCTTTCACAACTAGAATAAAAAAGATACTGCGAAAATCGGAAAATTCGTAGAACATAGAAAATTGTCGCGACGCGCTGGAACTGTCGTGAGACGGCAGAGCCTGTCGCCATGTGACAACTTTATCGCGCCGCGATGGAGTTGTCGCTGCGTGACGGTCTCTGTCTTCTAGCGCTGTATTCTCGCGACATCGCGCCAAGAGTCTGTCTTCTTGTTTTGACCGATTCTAGTACTGTTTCGACGATTCTACTTCATGATTGTGTTTTTCCTTCTTTTCTTAACCCATATGTGTTTTGCATATGGCTTTAGCCCCTGGGAATTTACGCTCCATCCACCCTAACGAACACTCCGTGCAACGATGGATGCATCAGAGATTGTGAATTCACCAAACCATGGAAGCAAGTCAAACTTGCGGGGTCCCATCCATCACTACACGAAAACAGGAAATTGGCAACGGTTCAAACCCCCCAAAGGCAACGGTTTTGAACCGTTGAGTATTTGAGGGTTGCCAAATCCCAAATAAATTGGCAACGGTTCAAAACCGTTGCCAACTCAACCAATTGGCAACGGTTAACCGTTGCCATTAACCATGCCTCCTTTTTTTTCTGTTTTTAAAAGTAATTGGCAACGGTTAACCGTTGCCAATTGCTTGAGTTGGCAACGGTTAACCGTTGCCAAAGCCAATAGCGCGCTTTTTTTTTTTTTTTTTTTTAAACATTGGCAACGGTTAACCGTTGCCAATGACCTGTACTGGTTTTTTTTTTTTTGGCTGCACTAATATTGACCTTTTTTTTGTGTTTTTTTTTTGGGCTGCATTAATATTGACCTGTTTTTTTTTTGGCTGCAATATTATTAATAATAATAATTAATTATTATTATTATTATTATTATTATTATTATATTAATAATAATTATTATTAATATTATAATAGTAATAATAATTAATAATAATAATACTTATGATTATTATATATGATAATAGTAACAATAATTAGTAACATTAATAACAAAACATAAATAATTAATAATAACAATCGCAAGAGATGATATAAATTAGAAAAATGTTTCATGTATAGTACATAATTAATAAGCTAAGCCTAGGATTGATGAAGAGATGATATAGTACAAAAATGTATGACGATATTTACAAATTAAATGTGATGTAGGTCGCCAACATCTCCCGAATTACATGGAGTTCCTCGCTCGTGTATGGAAGTCCCGTTTGCCCCATGCAAAACTTAGAAGACACAAAAAGTGAGTTAGTATAAGTGAAATAATAATGATTGGGGTTATTTATAGGTGACTAATGCTTGAGATTACAAGAAAAATAGCAAGTAAGAGGTTTTGGGACGCAATTTCAACCAAAATGGCTCAAGTAAGGCCATTTTGGCTACTAGGATGCCTATTTTCTATATTTCTTGTCTATTGAACTCATAACTAGTTAAAACATGTCATTATCACTTAGTTATAGGTTACTAATGCTTGAGATTACAAGAAAAGAGCAAGTAAGTGGTTTTGGGACGCAATTTCAAGCAAAATGGCTCAAGTAAGGCCATTTTGGCTACTAGGATGCCTATTTTCTATATTTCTTGTCTATTGAACTCATAACTAGTTAAAAAATGTCATTATCACTTAGTTATAGGTGACTAATGCTTGAGATTACAAGAAAAGAGCAAGTAAGTGGTTTTGGGACGCAATTTCAACAAAAATGGCTCAAGTAAGGCCATTTTGGCTACTAGGATGCCTATTTTCTATATTTCTTGTCTATTGAACTCATAACTAGTTAAAACATGTCATTATCACTTATTTAAATGTGACTAATGCTTGAAAACATGAAAAGAGCAAGTAAGTGGTTTTGGGACGCAATTTCAACCAAAATGGCTCAAGTAAGGCCATTTTGGTTACTAGGATGCCTATTTTCTATATTTCTTGTCTATTGAACTCATAAATAGTTAACACATGTCATTATAACTTAGTTATAGGTGACTAATGCTTGATATTACAAGAAAAGAGCAAGTAAGTGGTTTTGGGACGCAATTTCAACCAAAATGGCTCAAGTAAGGCCATTTTGGCTACTAGGATGCCTATTTTCTATATTTCTTGTCTATTGAACTCATAACTAGTTAAAACATGTCATTATCACTTATTTATAGGTGACTAATGCTTGAGATTACAAGAAAAATAGCAAGTAAGAGGTTTTGGGACGCAATTTCAACCAAAATGGCTCAAGTAAGGCCATTTTGGCTACTAGGATGCCTATTTTCTATATTTCTTGTCTATTGAACTCATAAATAGTTAAAACATGTCATTATCACTTAGTTATAGGTGATTAATGCTTGAGATTACAAGAAAAGAGCAAGTAAGTGGTTTTGGGACGCAATTTCAAGCAAAATGGCTCAAGTAAGGCCATTTTGGCTACTAGGATGCCTATTTTCTATATTTCTTGTCTATTGAACTCATAACTAGTTAAAAAATGTCATTATCACTTAGTTATAGGTGACTAATGCTTGAGATTACAAGAAAAGAGCAAGTTAGTAGTTTTGGGACGCGATTTCAAGCAAAATGGCTCAAGTAAGGCCATTTTGGCTACTAGGATGCCTATTTTCTATATTTATTGTCTATTGAACTCATAAATAGTTAAAAAATGTCATTATCACTTATTTATAGGTGACTACTGCTTGAGATTACAAGAAAAATAGCAAGTAAGAGGTTTTGGGACGCAATTTCAACCAAAATGGCTCAAGTAAGGCCATTTTGGCTACTAGGATGCCTATTTTCTATATTTCTTGTCTATTGAACTCATAAATAGTTAAAACATGTCATTATCACTTATTTATAGGTGATTAATGCTTGAGATTACAAGAAAAGAGCAAGTAAGGGGTTTTGGGACGCAATTTCAAGTAAAATGGCTCAAGTAAGGCCATTTTGGCTACTAGGATGCCTATTTTCTATATTTCTTGTCTATTGAACTCATAACTAGTTAAAAAATGTCATTATCACTTAGTTATAGGTGACTAATGCTTGAGATTACAAGAAAAGAGCAAGTAAGTGGTTTTGGGACGCAATTTCAACCAAAATGGCTCAAGTAAGGCCATTTTGGCTACTAGGATGCCTATTTTCTATATTTATTGTCTATTGAACTCATAAATAGTTAAAACATGTCATTATCACTTAGTTATAGGCAACTAATGCTTGAGATTACATGAAAAGAGCAAGTAAGTGGTTTTGGGACGCAATTTCAAGCAAAATGGCTCAAGTAAGGCCATTTTGGCTACTAGGATGCCTATTTTCTATATTTCTTGTCTATTGAACTCATAAATAGTTAAAAAATGTCATTATAACTTAGTTATAGGTGACTAATGCTTGAGATTACATGAAAAGAGCAAGTAAGTGGTTTTGGGACGCAATTTCAACCAAAATGGCTCAAGTAAGGCCATTTTGGCTACTAGGATGCCTATTTTCTATATTTCTTGTCTATTGAACTCATAACTAGTTAAAACATGTCATTATCACTTATTTATAGGTGACTAATGCTTGAGATTACAAGAAAAGAGCAAGTAAGTGGTTTTGGGACGCAATTTCAACCAAAATGGCTCAAGTAAGGCCATTTTGGCTACTAGGATGCCTATTTTCTATATTTCTTGTCTATTGAACTCATAACTAGTTAAAAAATGTCATTATCACTTAGTTATAGGTGACTAATGCTTGAGATTACAAGAAAAGAGCAAGTAAGTGGTTTTGGGACGCAATTTCAACCAAAATGGCTCAAGTAAGGCCATTTTGGCTACTAGGATGCCTATTTTCTATATTTATTGTCTATTGAACTCATAAATAGTTAAACATGTCATTATCACTTAGTTATAGGTGACTAATGCTTGAGATTACATGAAAAGAGCAAGTAAGTGGTTTTGGGACGCAATTTCAAGCAAAATGGCATACCTCTTCAAGCTGACGTGTGTCTTTGTCATACATGAATCTCATCACGTATAGGCCACAGTCAACTCCGTTTTCCTGTTGTGCGCACTAGCATGAGGAACAAAGCACATGAATCAAAATGCATAGCAAATAAGCAACATCTTAAGCATTGTAAAGTAAGAAAATCACAACATCATGGGTGAATTACCTTGGGTGCTTTCCATGTAGGACCTCGAGGAGATCGAGGATTTATCTTCTTCATGATACTACAAAAAATCAAAGTAATAAGTTCAAATTTGACTAGTATAATCAATACATATGAGTTAAGATATGAAAAATGAATAATCAGAAGTGAAACAAACTAGATGCTTACTTTTGTAGTATGGACCTCACGAGGCGCTTTCTTACTTGAGGTAACCGAGCAGAATCAAAGTAGAAGATTGTGTTATTGGAAACACAAATCACAAGTAGGGTCCAATGATAACTACATACGAGACAAACAAATCAATAGTTAGCCTATTACAACAAATAAACTGGGAAAACAAACGAACTTGACTAGCATAATCAGACGTACTCCTCATAGTATGGGACGAATATGAACTTGTCTCCCGCACTCACTGATTGCCTGATACCCCGTTCAGCATAGTACAACACGTCAGCGGAGTTGCCAAAGATTCTAGCAGTGGACATCTGCTCAGGGCACAACCACCCAACTTGACAAGGAGATTCAAGCTCCCATATTTGCTCCTGGAGTGCTCTGCATGCATGATATCACAACGTTAATCGAAAACCAAACGACAAACACCACTAAATTGAATAATATAAATTGAGTATCAGTTGAATTACCTCATGGATATTTGAATGAGGGAAATTTTAAGCATTGCACCACTTAGAAATTCCTTCACATCTTCTTTGAATAGCCATGCCGTTGCATCATCATCGTAGTGGAACATTTCCTTACGAAGTTGGATTTGGATGGGGCTGTCATTAGGCAACACGCAAACACGGTTGTGCAAATAAGCTAACTCCTGAGATAGCGATTGAAGCACCGTGTCTTCAACTAATGGAGTAGCTTGCGTAGCTGAACATCGTGAAGGGCTCTTCATCGACGCTTTTCCACTCACCGAGCCATGTTCACTCCTGTTCTTTGGCCCCTCCACCCTCTTCTTTGGAGTTTGGCTTTTCTTCGATGGCTAATAAGACAAATCATATAAATAGTTAGAAAAGATTTCCATCCAACTCTTGGGAAGAAAAGATTAAATCGTGAAATCTAAATCTTAATTACCTGGTTCATCAACCATATCCAAGCAGTTGGCCATTGCACAAAACTACCTTTTGCTGCCCAGAGTGTAGTGAACTCATCCTCCTCCACGGGCACAGGTATTAATATCTCCTCGAACCCGGGAACCACAGAATGGATCTCGACAGAATAATGCTCGGGAAGAAGAGGTCGAAGATGGACCGTGCCTTGTTCGGCCGGTTGTGCACTACCATAGGCAACAACTTTCAAAGGTCCATCATATGATTCCCCCGGGTGAAGAAGTTCACAACGGGTCTCTTCCTGCACCAATTAGGAAGATACTTCATTTAAATATTCATAACTAAGCACAGTAGGTGTAATATAGGAGTTAAATCAAGAATTGAGCAAAAAACATGGAAAATGGGCAAGTTAGAACTCATTTAGGCCATTTCGAGCCGAAAACACTCTAAATGAACCTAAAACTTGTAAAATTGCTTTTTTTAGGTTGTTTCAAGCCACAAATATTCATAACTAAGCATATTAGGTGTAATATAGGAGTTAAATCAAGAATTGAGCAAAAAACATGGAAAATGGGCAAGTTAGAACTCATTTAGGCCATTTCGAGCCGAAAACACTCTAAATGAACCTAAAACTTGTGAAATTGCTTTTTTTAGGTTGTTTCAAGCCACAAATATTCATAACTAAGCACAGTAGGTGTAATATAGGAGTTAAATCAAGAATTGAGCAAAAATCATGGAAAATGGGCAAGTTAGAACTCATTTAGGCCATTTCGAGCCGAAAACACTCTAAATGAACCTAAAACTTGTGAAATTGCTTTTTTTAGGTTGTTTCAAGCCATATATATTCATAACTAAGCATATTAGGTGTAATATAGGAGTTAAATCAAGAATTGAGCAAAAAACGTGGAAAATGGGCAAGTTAGAACTCATTTAGGCCATTTCGAGCCGAAAACACTCTAATTGAACCTAAAACTTGTGAAATTGCTTTTTTTAGGTTGTTTCAAGCCATATATATTCATAACTAAGCATATTAGGTGTAATATAGGAGTTAAATTAAGAATTGAGCAAAAAACGTGGAAAATGGGCAAGTTAGAACTCATTTAGGCCATTTCGAGCCGTAAACACTCTAATTGAACCTAAAACACATGAAATTGCTTTTTTTAGGTTGTTTCAAGCCATATATATTCATAACTTAGTATCTTAGGCGCAAAAAAAAAAGAAAAAAAAAACCAAAACAAGTGCAAAAAAAAAAAAAAACCGGAAACCGGGCGGGAAGGGCAGCGTGTGCACAGCGAGGAGGCTACACAGCTGCTGCGCTGGTGCTGCAGCCTCCTCGAGAAGAAAGAGAAGGAGGAGGAGGAGGAGGAGGAGGAGGAGGAGGAGGAGGAGGAGGAGGAGGAGAAGGAGGAGGAGGAGAAGGAGGAGAAGGAGAAGGAGAAGGAGAAGAAAGAGAAGGAGAAGGAGAAGGAGAAGAAAGAGAAGGAGGAGGAGGAGGAGAAGGAGAAGAAAGAGAAGGAGGAGGAGGAGGAGGAGAAGGAGAAGGAGAAGAAAGAGAAGGAGGAGGAGAAGGAGAAGGAGGAGGAGAATGAGGAGAAGGAGAAGAAAGAGAAGGAGGAGGAGAAGGAGAAGGAGGAGGAGAATGAGGAGAAGGAGAAGCAGACAACAACAACATATCACATCAACAAATTAAAGCAACACAAACTACTCAACACAGCGAAGAAACACCATTTCACAGCCAACTTAACCATTTCAAAACACAATCCAAAAACAAATATCATTATCCAAACAAGTAAGCACAAAATCACCTGTAGAATAGGAAAGTGATGAGGTGTCGGAGTATCAAGCCCCCTTGAGTTCGCATGTGAAGGACTATCAATCTGAAATAGTGTATTGATAGTGAAACATTAATTAGAACCGTACCCACGTAACTCAGCATATCAAAACTTATAGAGTTGAATTCTAATCATTTACCTCCTGTTCTCCTTCTCTTCGTGGGTGGCTACTTGCGTCGGCCGGTGTTGTCGAGGAAAAGGGCAAGGTCGGCAAATTCATTTGCTTTGCCCATGCATTGAACTCTTCGCGCATCTCATTGCGCACTTGTTCTTTAGTTGATGCCACTGTGGCATCGAAGTTCTGTGGCGAGTTCACACTTGCTCGGGATCTTCCAGATTTGGTATATTCGGGACCCATTACCTTCTCCCATCCTAGCAAGCTCCCCCCAGCACCTAATACCCGTCCCGGATGGTAGGGCTTTCCCATAGCCAAGGTGAAGGGGTCCTTCTCTACCGTCGGGACGAGCTTGCCTTCAACAAGCTCTCCAGTGTACTCAAACTGTAGCAAAAACAAAATGGCAACATGAAGTCAGTGTTTATATAAAGTGATATACATGCAAATGAATAAGTTAGTTCACTAGTTCATAGTTGCTTACTAGCTTATCTGTCATTTCTTTGGTTTCCGGAGCCTTGATGGACCATTTTCCGGTCTTCTTGTCCCGCGAATGCACAGAGCAAAAGAAATCCCCAGCACGACTCACCAAAGTACTGGTCGTGGAGTCAGACGGCGCCGTGGAGGATCCTAGAAGCGCAGTGGGGTATACTCCTTCACTCACCCACGTATCCCTCCATTCATCATACGTCATTGCTCCCATATGATAGTGGTATTGCTTTTGCAATGCATTCCTGGAATTCTGCTCCCTCATTTCCTACATAAAAAGATATATATGTTAGTTTCATTACTAATAAAAAAGACGATAAATTACAACACAATTTTCATCAGAGTTCTTTAAACTTACAATTTCTTCTTTTTTACATTTTTGATGAACGAAAGCCTCCCAATCATCCTTCGATATGCTAGGCCATATTTGCCAAGGGAGTTTCTCTTCATCGATGACATCATCATCACTGCCACCTCCTTTCTTGTTCTTTGGTTTCCTCACAAGTTTCTTTGTGATAAACCGACGAACTAAGTTACACTTGAAGCTTCTGAATCTTGCCGCAAGTAAGGATTCAAACACCCTTTGCTTGGCGTACTCATTTGGAATGTTAAATAGACTCTGCAAGCACAAATAAAAAACATTATTGGTTTGCCCATAACATAATAATAAATTGAAATTGTTTATAAATAATCACATCAAATCAAACTTACCCTGGTATCATTCCAAAACGTGTCAATCAAGCCTGTAGGTACGTCGCTCATACGAAGCGTAATGGGGATTTTGCGCGCACAAATCCCAACTTGACCAGCATACTGACGACGCCATTTACCTGAGGGTTTCCATACCCTATCATACTCCAAGACCATAGGACCGACAGGTTTCTTGAAAGCTGTCGTCGGACCCCTCTGCTTTTTCTTCGCTGGTGCCTGCACCCCCGCTCCACTTTGATCCTCACAAAATGGCTCCACAATGGCATTATCAATTGGAGGCGCTTGCTCAGCAGCAATTTCAAAGTCATCTATCATTCTCTCCAATACATCTTGCGCCTAATCTTCTGGCTCACCCAAATCAGTTTCCTTGTTCACATCATACGGCTGGTCCCCATCATTAGATGAATCATCTGAGTTAGATTCAACATCCTCAACTCGAACACGGAATCGATCGTCCGCCATTAGATGTTAAAACCTGTCATTACAAACATAACACGTTATTAGCTGCTGAATTGTAAGGTAAACTTATAATCATATATAAATTGCTGAATTATAATACAAATAAACTCTGAAAATGGTGATGCAAGTTACTTTATTCATTTAAAAGAATATAATAAAAATGGGCAAGTAATTCAACAATGTCATTCATTTTCACCTAAAATGTGATTTTTTTATTCTTTCTACGCCTGCAATTCAAACTAACAGAAAATATACAGTACCTCAATCTAATATTCCTTCATCGTGGTCGGATCTCATGTAATTGGCTTGGTCGTCTATCTCATTTGGCACAGCAGGTCTAGGAACGGTGAAAGGTGCCGAGTCATCAAAGGCATCATATTCTTCCTCATCCTCGACATCTCCAACGCCAAGGATTCTTCTTTTGCCGGCTAGCACAATAGACAATTTTGAGTCGGCAGGGTCAGATACGTAAAACACCTGCTTAGCTTGAGATGCAAGGATGAACGATTCCGCACTATCATTCAGGTTGCCAAGATCTACAAGAGTAAAGTCATCAAATTTGACGTTACGCCTGATATTATCAACCCACTTACACCGGAAAAGAGTAATCGTGAAGTCACAATAATCAAGCTCCCATATTTCTTGAATTCGACCGTAGTATGACAACTCTGCATCAACGGGTGATTTATCCTTAGCACTTGCAAACTCCCTTGACGATGCCACAACCGTTACACCACTATTTTGGGTCGAGGACGATTTCAAATCTTGACGCTCAGTCCAAAATGTGTACCCATTTATGTCATATCCCTCAAATGAGCGAACATCATCCCTAGGACCATAAGCAAGCCACCTTACTGTAGCTGTGACACTCTCATCCATTCCACCCATCACTCGATCACGAAACCAACTCACAAACTTCTTATTGTGCAACTGCATCAGTGCCCTTTCACCTTTCGACGGAAACTCATCACGCAAACTAGCCATGTGCTCGTCTAAATATGGG